TTTTTTTTGAGACAGGGTCTTGCTATGTAGTTCAGCCTGGTTTTAAACTCACTATGTAGCCCAAGCTGGCCTGAAACTCATGGCAATCCTCCTGCCTCAGCATCCCAGGTGCTGGGATTATAGGCCTGTGTTACCATGCCTGGCCTTTGTGATTGGATTATGACCTTACTCAGTCTCAGGAAAAATTCTATAATCTCCCTACTGGCTGAGGATATAGCTCAGCAGCACAAACACCTGCCTGGCAAGTGCGAGGTCCCAAGTTCAATTCCCAGTACCAAAAAACAAAACAATCAAGATATATAATCTCCTTACCCTCCATGGCTCTAAGATGATAGAATATTTGGGCAAAGATCAAACTATGATTTCAGCCAAGAAATAGAAAAGAGAGGGAAAGAGGCCAAGTTAGAGGAGGAAGGCCCCAGGGGCTGGGGATGCTCACCCAGGGCGTTGAAGGCGGGCAGCACATTAAACTTCACTGTCCTCCCTGGGAACCGGGAGGAACTCAGCTCAAAGCTGAGAACGCAGGGGTTGGATGGATCCTGGTCTTTAATGTTTATTTCAAATATTTGTGTTCTGGTGCATCTTTGAAATTCTTCCAGGTCTTGCCTAATTTCTCTGATAAACTCTTCCCGGCGTGATACCTGCTCCTGAAAACTCTTGAGGTTTGTGAGGAAGATGACCAGGTCAGCGTCACACTGGTCTCTGAGCGTTGCATCTCTGCCAGAGAAGCCACCCTACAAAAGATAGCAAGAACAACACGAGACTCTTAGTGAGAGGGACCCGCTAATTCAGTACTGCCCTTGTTTGGGGGACATAACACATTTTCATTTCTGCATGCTCACCCTGACTCTGTGAGTTAGGCACTGTTATTATCGCTTCCCATTTTACAGATGGGGAACCTGGGCAGTGAGATTTTGTATCAGCCCAGTCACACAGCTGGTAGGTGGCAGAGAGCACGTCAGACCCTGGGTGCCTCATTCCAAAGCCTGCGTTTTTTACTCTTGGTCCTTTACCATCTTTTTTTTTTTTTTACCTTTATGCCCCATACTGGGTCAAGCTGATTTGCACACATTATTGTACTTAATCTGCATGGTGCTTAGATGGTACGGGGAGTCAGAGGTGAGGAAATGGGGACACACAACAGCTAATTAACTAACTCAAAGTCTCACACGCAATAGCTGCTAGCTGCTTTCAAGACCGCTCGTAAGCAGCTCAGCAGACTGTAGTAATGTTCAATCCCCACCCTGCCGCTCATCAACAAGTTATTTATCGGAGCCTGGCCTCCATTTTCCTGTCTCTGACATAGATGAGGGCTTGTTAAAGATACAGACACAGGACCTCACACTAGAATTAACTCTGATACACCATGGTTATGTCTGTGATGTGGAGAAATCAGAAACCACCAGCCTGCAAGTTCTCCCTCTGTCCTGTTCAGGTCTGCAGCCTGGGTCCCACGGTGGCCTCTCCCTCTCTGTCAGCCTCTTGTCCACTCAGCCGTCCACCCCCAACCAGGTAGAACTGGACTCACCCTCACCACCTTGGACACCCGCACAGGGATTGGGGCTCCTGGGAAAAGGCACCTTTCCTTTAGGAATTCAGATATCTGCTCAATGGCATTTTTGACGTCCTCGTGGAAATTGTAGTCTAACAGGAGATGGTCTTTGATGAACTTGTTCAGGTTCTCGGCGAGGGTGTTTCTGAGGTCCATCGCGGCGGTCAGGTGAGGACTCGGAGCGCTGTGTCTGAGATGGCTGCAGGAATGTTTCTGAGGACCGCTAGCCTTTCTCATTTGCGCTTATGGAGCCTGGGAAGCCATTTGTTTTATTTTCTTGGAAAAAAGGAAATGATTTAGCCTGTGTCTTGGCCAATCAACCCTGCCCTATCCTGGCACAGAGCTGCTGGCTGGCTCTGTGAATTCCCGAAATTTATACTGTCCTGTTACCAGCAGCCTGGGCTTCCTCCCCACTTTATTTTTTAATCCCAGTGAAAGAAATCATACTTATATATGCATATAGGGTTTTCATCTTGTTTTTTTTAGTTTTGAAAAAAATTGTTTGTTTTTTTTAATTTATTCTTTTTTTTTTTTTTTTGGTTTTTTTCCAGTACCAGGAATCGAACTCATGACCTTGTGCTTGCTAGGCAGGTGCTGTGCCACTGAGCTAAATCCCCAGCCCCACAAAAATCATTTTTTAATCTCCTGTAATTTTTAATGCAGGCATGTTACAAGAAGACAAAAAGAGAAAATCAGGAAGTTGAAAGACCATTTATGTCCCCCTCCCTTTATTTTTTGAGACAGGGTCTTGTTATGTAGTTCAGACTAGCCTTGAACTCACTATGTTCCCTAAGATGACCTTGAAATCACAGCAGTCCTCCCGCTTCAGCCTCCTGATTGCTGGGACTATAGGCCATTTATGTTTCTAAAACCCAGAACTACCTAGCACTACAAACATTTGGGTATAGAGCTCTTCAGATGTTTTTCTATGGCAACAAACATACCATACACACCTGGACAGAGTTCTCTCTTTTTATTTTTTAATAAATGGCATCATACTATACATTTTCTCCTTTAATTAACAGACTTTATTTCTTATGCCAGTTTTAGGTTCAGAGACAACTGAACAGAGAGTAGAGTTCTCATTATCCCCTCTCCTTTCACTCATAAGGCCGTGAATAAAGCATTGGTCCCCAGGTGGCCCTGAGGAGAACTGGTAGAAACTTTGAGAGGTGAGGCCCGGTGTGGGGGGTCTTTAGGTCTGGGGTGTGGCCTCAAAGCCATCCCAAGACTCTGGTCTCTCCCTCCTTTCTGTTGCTTCCTCACCATAAGTGGAGCTCTGTCCTCCTGCACGGGCTTCTGCTACGGTGAGCCACCTCACCACAGCCCAGAGCACCTGATTATGGACTGAACCATCCACAACTGTGAGCCCAAGCAAACCTTTTCTCTTCCTAAGTTGATTGCATCGGCTATTCAGGTATAGCAATGGCAGCTGACTTACGCTGGGCTTACCAGGTTCACACAGCCTATTAGAATTTAGCTGAGAATAATACTTCTCCAAAGTTCTTTTCTTTTTTGGCAAGAAAAATTGCTTTGTTACTTCTTGTGGCCATAGAAATAACACAAATTCAGTACATAAAGTTAATAAAATCAGATCATCTGGAGCCATAAAGATCACAAACACTATAATCAAGTATAATCATTTTCCAGGAACCAACCATTACAGAATGGAATTAGAGAAACTGTATTGAGTGACACTGAAACAGACCCCTAAGAATAAATATGAGAAAAGGCATGAATGACATTTACAGAGAAAAGGATAAAGCATTTGTAGAATTTCTAGACTAAATGAGTGGAAACTTCAAGGTCATGGCTTAGAATTCTCAATTTTATGTTGATATTACCCTTCCTACACTAATGCTTGTACCTTTGTATTTGGAAATTAACAGATTGTGTATAAAATTTATATAAAAATAGAAAAGGCCAAGAGGAGCTGTAACTTTTGGTAAAAAGAGGAAAGTGCTTTTCTGCTGGACATGAAGAATTGTAAGGTTCTGGGAATTAAGGTAAGGCGGCAGTCACTCTAGGACACAGAGACAGATCAATGGAAAGAAACAGAGTCCAGAACATAGTACGCCTTGGGTAAGTGTCAGAGATGGCCTCACAGACCAGGGGGGAAAAGCTGGTCCCTTCAACAATACTGCTGGGCTAACTGCACATTTACACCAGAACTGGAAATAGAGCCCCGCCTTGTACCATGTATACAAAGACATGCTTTTAGTTACCTATGTTTTTGGTATCATGGCCACGAAATCATTGGAGAACCAAGGTCATGATGCTTTCCCGTTATGTTTTCTTCTAAGAGTTTTACTTTCAGCCTTACGTTTAAGTCTTTATTCTATTTTGAGTTGATTGTTGCATATGGTGTGAGGTAAGGATCCAGTTTCACTCTTTTGCATGTGGAGATCCACTTTTCCCAATATCACTTGCTGAAGAGACTGTCCTAACTCCAATATGTCCTCTTTACAACCTTTGTGGACAATCAGTTGATCATTTTGAACTTTGTCAAAAATTGGGTGACCTACGCACAACTCTGGCAAAAATCCACAAATAGGCCAACAGAACTACACTATACTAAAGAGCTTTTGCACAGCAAAGGAAACAGTTAGCAAACTGTGTATCTAATGAAGAGTTGACCTCCAAAATATTTGCAAGCCATCTCTCTGATAAAGAGTTGATCCCCAAATTATATAAAGAACTTTTAATTATAGCATGATAACAACAGCAAAAACAACAAAGGCTAACAATAACCTGGTTAAAAATAGGCTAAGGACTGAACAGAGCTTTCTCTAAAGAAAGCATATGAATGGTATCAGTTTATGAAAAGATGCTCAGTGTCACCTATCATCAGGGAAATGCAAATCAAACCACACTTAGACATTGCCTCCCTCCTGCTAGGAGGGTGATCATAGAAAAGAAAGCAAGGATGGTGACGGTGTGGAGGAGAAGAAACCTCACACCAGGCTGTTTGTGATGCAAAACGGTGCAGTCACTATGGAAAGCAGACTGGAAGTTCCTCAAAAAGAAAAAAAAAAATTAAAAACTTCCATGCAATCCAGCAAGGCCTCTTCATGGTGTTTTCCCAAAAGAACTGATATCAGGACACGCAGGACATGGGAGAAATGTTAGTGATCTGTGTTCCTTACAGCACTGTTCACAATATCCCAGAGACAGGAGCAACTCCAGTGTGAGAAAGGGCGTCGGCCTCTCTCAGTGACCTCATCTCCTCTGGGGCCTCCACCTCCCAAGCGTGCCAAAATTTCAACATGAGTTTTGGATGGCACCCAGAAATCTCGAATCTCTAAATCTCCCTGAATGCTTGGAGCCAAAGAAATGGTCCACTCCTCCCTATTTAGAGCTAGAACCTCCAGCGGGCTTGGACTCCCTGCAGAGGCCTCTGGTCCACAAGTCAGGGCCCCATGCCCCAACCTCCCCTGCTACAGTAGGCCTACGGCAAGGATAAGGGCCCAACATCACCCAGCTGGGCAGTTTTGGGCCTGCTAAGAGATGCTGGGCCTAGAGCCCCACGGTCCCTGGAGGGCCCAGTCCTCCTGTGTCAGCACAGGTCAGGTGTGGATGAGTGCAGCGGACACTGAAGGCCTTGGCCCAGGGAGCTGCGGAGTAAGATCGGATGAGGGAGTGTTGTTCATTTCAGGAGACTTTTCCAAATGCAGGATTTAATACCCAGGAGATGCGCTACCTGCCCTGACTGCCAGGTTGTCCCTGGATGTGTGGGAAAAGTTTGCAATGCTGGATGGGCCATGGCAGATGGCAGAGGATGGAATGAAAAGCTCAGGGAAGTGGGTACACTGGAGTGGAAAGATTTACTCTGTAAGCCCCAAAACTCCACCAGGGAAGGTGCAGAGGGTTGAATATTCCCCACGGCGACACGGAATATGCTGGAGAAGGCACCTGTATCACTAAGGATTTCTGTTTATGGCAATAGTTTATGGCAACCTCCAGCCACACAATTATAACTCAGACCTGTAGGGCTCTGGCTGAGCCCGTGTCATTTACCGAAAAAAATTCTACTCTCTTTGGAAGACAGTCTTGCGTGGCTGGTGTAGATGGGAGCCTGAGCATGTGACCATGTGGCTCTTTGACTAAGGAGGAGCTCATTAGCAAGCCCTTTAATCTATTGTTGATTGCAGTACTGTTTATGGATGTGAGATGCTCTCAGAAGGCCATGCAAGTGGGCCATCCATGCAGCGACATACAGTGCAGCTGTTACCTGGGTGGTTAATTTGATACGTCATCTTGACTGCGCATCTTGACTCAGACCTCCCTCCTGTGTGTATGAGAAGAGCGAGCCCACCTGATGGAGCTGCTGGGAATCAGGGCAGGAAGCGAATAAGGACAAAGCAAAGTCTGCCAGCCAGGCACCTGGGTGACCAGCACTCAGGTGACAAGAACATGTTTGCTCCTTCTGTACTTACAGGAGTTTTATATCTTGGATTGTTATCACTGAAGCACTGGTACCAATAGCCGCGTGATGAAGCGACAATGGGAACCCCAGAACCTGTTCTTTAGCCCAGGGGCCCCCCTCCTGGGGCACAGCTGTCCCATCTATATGCCACCCAGGCCACCTGGGGAAGTCTACGATTTCTAGTAGCTGCGTGAAAAAAGGAAAAAGATAAAGTGAAGTTGATTTTGATGGAATGAAATCTATCAAAACATGTCACTTCAACATGCAACCGGGGGCTGGGGATTTAGCTCAGCGGCACAGAGCCTGCCTAGCAAGCGCTAGGTCGTGAGTTCGGTTCCTGGTACCAGTGTAAAAAAAAAAAAAAAAAAAAAAACCAACATGCAACCGAGTTTAAAAGCTATCAGTTGTCCAGAATTTGATGTTCTTTTTTTAAATTTTGTGCATGAAGTCTTGAAACCCAGCATGCATGTGACACTCACGGCATACCTTGGTTTGGACCAGCTGCATTGCAAATGATTGCCAGCCACACGGGGCGGGTCGCTTCTGTGGTGGACAGGGCAGTGCTTGAACTTTTCCTAGAGATGTTTGCCTCTGGGTTCTCTCCCCTCCCCCACCCCCACCCCCATTTAGCTCTGGTGGCCTTACAGAGGATTGAATCTGGGGTACCCTGCCACCAAGATACACCCCCAGTCCGTTTTAGTGTTTCAAATTTGCTGAGACTGGTCTTTTTTTTTTTTTTTTTTTTTTTGCTGTACTGGGGATCGAACTCACTACCTTGCACTTGCCAGGCAGGTGTTTACATCACTGAGCTATATCCCCAGCCCCTGAGAATGGTCTTCAACCTGCCATCCTTCTGCCTCAGCATCACAAGTGGCTGAGACTTGGCTCTGGATTTATTATCACGGTAGGAAATTTAGACGTATCTAAAACCATTAAATTTCAAAATGTCAACTCCACGAGGGCAAGGACTTTAGTCTGCTTCATCCATCGTTGTGTTCCCAGTGCCAAGACCTTAAAAATATTTTTTTAGCACTTAAAAAGTATTTTCTGTTGAATCCATGAACACACACTTCTGTACATCCTGACACTGTGGCTTGAAGTTCATAAACACCCAACATGAACCTGCTGTCATTTTTATTGTCATCAATCACGAATGGGGCACGGGTGGAAATCAAGGCTGAATATCCCTGTCTTCTTTGTGTCTCTCTGGTCATCTCTCGGACCTACTGTACCCCCTTAGCCCCCCAGAGGCCCAGAGTTCACAGGACGGTGCATGACCAGGTCTCCTGGGCCTGCGGAGCTGAGGTGCGCTGGAGCAAGTCAGGGCTTAGGCTTGTGCTGATATTTGCTTGCCAGGATGCGCTATAGCCTCCACTGTCTGCTCCAGCCTGCAGAGGTGAAACACGACCCTGTGAGGAGCTGGTCTCCCCGCCTAGGGACTGGGTGTCGGTGAGCACTGCCACCTGCGTCCACTTGGGCGAGCACTGGCAGGTCCCGGCTGCTGGGAGGTGGAAGCGGACTGGCTCCCATCAGCCCCTTTGGGAGGCTTAGGCTAGGGAGGGGCCCACGTTTGGTGGCCAACTGTCACTGCTTGGCGGCGCGAACAGCCAGAGCGGCTCCAGGGCTGTGCCCATGGCTGACTGAAGCTGGCACTGTCCCTCATCCCTGCTCACTTCCCCCATCTTCCCTTCTGCTTTCTCCCCTCCCATCCGGGGCGTTGGCTCCAGTGCCTTCGCCCCAAACACCCCACACCCTAAACTCCACCCCCAGGCTGCTCTCCTGGGAACCCACCCGTGACACCCTCAATTCCCGAGCCCCAGGAAGGCCCCGCCCTGGGAGGGAAACAGCCAGGCTCAGGTCCCGGTGTCCCTGCTTCGCTGTGTGCCGGCCCACCTCACCCAGCTGCTCAGAGTCTCCGGGTTGTCGGCTGGGAAGAGGGGAGGAGGCCAGACAGCTGTTCGCTTAGCGCAGGGAAATGAGCCCTGGCTCTGCAGTCCGGGGTGCCTGGCCCCAGCCCTGCCGCCCCTCAGCCGAGTGACCCTGAGGAGGTGACCGCACCCCTCCGGGCTTCTTGTGTTGTGTGTAAGGCGGGGGTGATCATAAGCGTGGCTCATGGGGTCCTTGTGAGGTTGGACTGAGATCGTGTGTGTTAGAGGGTGAGGGCAGAACCTGTGCCCAAACCAGAATCTCAGGTGTGGCGGTCCTTGTGAGCCATCCTTCCTCTCAGTGCAGTGAGCTCTGGACAGGGGAAGTGAGAATCCTTGGGATCAAAATGATTGTGCGAGATGGGGCCCGGCCTGCAAGCCTACTACTGTGGGTGACTGTGAGCAGGAGGTCGTGTCTTAGGGAAGCGTGGTCTCCGGCTCCACGGGGACATCTGGAGCCGTGTGT